TTAAATTTTTTTTCGTATTCTTAGAGGATCGTATCCTTTAATATTTCCTTTATAAGAAGGCAGCATTAGGCTCAGTTCGATTATTGTAATATTTAAAATAATTAGAAACTCTCTTTCCCACAAATAATATTCCTCGAAAAAATACTATACATTAGTTTTCAAGCTTAGATCAAAATGTGAAATTAAAATCCCAGAAAAATCTGACATTTTATCAACAAATAGGAAAACGTCAGATTTCTTCGTCACCACATATTAATTTGTGAATAAAACTTTTGTAATCTTATTTATTTATTTCCCAAACAAGTACTGTCTAATTACATAGAAAACAGTAATTATAACAAATTTGTAACATATGATTGAAATAAGTTTTTAAGTTTTTCAAATAAATACTATTAGACAGTCAAATGTTAGACAGAAAAAGGCAAAATACAACCATAGGGATATCAATATCATCAGTCAATTACTAAAGAAAATAATATCTCTTAAAAATATTAAATACTTATGAAAAAAAATAACTAGTAATTCTATAAGTACATGAGTTAATTCTTAAGCTTGGATGTTTGCGGAAGGAACATTAAACTGAAATAAAGCCAATAGACCGGGAGATATTACACTGAAGTTCGACGACGTCTTTCTCGTTTATGCCTCTGAGAGTACTGAAAGGTAACCGAGAGACATAAACTAAATTTAAAAGATGGGCTGCGGGACATCTTTGTGAAAATTCAATTTTCCTTTTAAAAAAAATAATGTGTACAGCGATGTATTTCTCACTTATGCCATGATCGTAAGTTGAAGAGAAGTATCGATTTTAACACAAATTTTTTTAGTATTCATTTTTTTAAAGGGAATAAGTCCCTGGTAATGCTAGCATATATGCTAAAAATTTTTTGAAAAGTTGTAGGAAATTCATGAAAATTGTTACGTCTTTCTCGCTTATGCCATTTTGCATGCACATAGGAATCTACATTATAAAGTCATATAAATGTAAATAAATTATTTTGAATTTTAATACGAGTCAGGTCGACAAAGTAGAAAAATAATAGAAAATTGCCACAATGTTCTCGTTTATGCCGTTTCGTACACGAGTATAAAATATTATTAAAAGTCATTTTCAAGAGTGGCATGTATGCCATAAGGTGCCGTCGTATGTAAAAAGTTTATTTCATCGCCTGCGCAATTTTCGAAATACTTATACTTACTTGCATTTAGCGTATTTTTAATTTTATAAATAGAAGTAATTCATGTATTTAATGAAAGTTAATAATAAACTATTTCGGCATAAGTCCCCACACATTAGAAATGATTTTTAATAATTTTTTGAATCATGATCAGAAAAAGAAAAATTTCCTTCACATAATGAATGTCAAAAATTTAAAGGGGTGAAAAAGGAGCAAAAACTCAGTTAACTGATATCACAAACTTGCATCGGAAGTTTAAGGTTATAGAGAAAAAGGTTAATTAAAAATGTGTTTAAAACTTTTTCGGTTCTGCTGAAATACATGTATTTTATCGCGGTGAGTACTTATAAAAAAATATGTAACACTTTTTACGAGTCTGTAGCAACCTGGACTGTATTTGAAAGTCAGTTTCTAATACATTGTTGTAGTGATTGCTGTGCTGTTTTCCGACAGTACATTTAATAGCCGTATTTCCAAGTTTTCTTTTGAAAATTGCGCATTTATTTAGCAATCGCGAATATTATTATATGCTTATAATTTATGGCGAAGCATACAAAAATGCCCACAAAGCTTGTCAAGTGTACCGTGCAAGATATCCTGAACGACGTGCCCCCGCCCCCGTTCAGGAACATGCAAAAAATCCTCAATTTACAGCTGAAATAGTTGTTACAGATGAAGCATGTTTCAGTCGAAATGGTGTACGTAATGTCCACAACACCCGTCACTAGACTATCGAAAATCCACACAAAATACGTCGCGGTGCCTTTAAGCAACAGTTTTCAGTGAAAGGACTAGATTTATGTTTCGAGGCCAAAAATTAGGATATTCTAAAAATTTCCGAATATTAAAAAATTCGCACTTGATCTACACAACAACCTGTCCATCATTATTTTGAATAACCCAAGGAGATTCATCATTCCGGAGAGCCCATCCAACATGGCGATTGGACGCTATGGTTTTGGAAGTCGCCTTTACCCGGAAATCTGAGAAGCCACCTGTCAAATAAGAAGACGCCAGACATCAAATGCATCAGATGTGATCGAAAGTCAGCCCTCAAGATTTGCATATCTTTAAGGGGATGTGTGTCTGGCTAGTGCTCGTAGCATGGTCAAAATTTTATATAATTTAAATGCAATAATTCTAACTGCCAATGTCTATAACTACTATATTTATTCTTAAACATACTGTATGACGCTTAAAGTCAACAATAAATCCCAAAATTATAAAAATCTTATATTTTAGTTATTTTGTATGAGAAAAATATCACTGAGTATGTTAGTAGAAATCAAGTGTTTGGAAACACAACTTTGTAGAAATTCGTTAACGATTTTCCATCTATAAGAACCTATAAAACAAGTTTAATTGAAACATACTCAAAAACTTGGTGTTGCTAATATTACATGTATTTTATCGTCAGATTTGGGAATCGGAATTATTAACGAAATATTTCTTTTATCAAGAAATTTATTTTGTTTGTTAAAACCAAATTGGAAATATGTAAAAGATGGTCTTTTAAATAAATAGCGCAACCTCTTTAAGTATAAGGTAGAATGTTATCAAGACCTGATATACTTTTAGATTTATGTTTCTTTACGATCATATATATATGGTTTAGAGTAACTTATCACATCGTTCACTAATACCCAGAACTCTGAAAATATTATTCAAAGCAATTAGGAACTTCATCTATCGATAAAGTATTATTTTTATCAATATAATATCTAGCTCTCCTATTGGTGTTTAATATTTTATGATTGTAAGATGGAAATTGAATTAGCTTAGTTACTACAAATTTAGACACCTGATATTTGTAGTACAGAAAATGCGAGTATTTCCCAATTTCATGACACGTCGTGGGATTGTGACAAATATCAAGAATGTGATAGTGCCCTTACGCCCATATGTTGTCTAAATTTAGAAAATTCTATCAGATATTATCTTGTTATTTCATTCTGTCTTCATAAACGTCAGAGATAATTCGATTTAGAAAAATATCACTGAGTATGTTAGTAGAAATCAAGTGTTTGGAAACACAACTTTGTAGAAATTCGTTAACGATTTTCCATCTATAAGAACCTATAAAACAAGTTTAATTGAAACATACTCAAAAACTTGGTGTTGCTAATATTACATATATTTTATCGTCAGATTTGGGAATCGGAATTATTAACGAAATATTTCTTTTATCAAGAAATTTATTTTGTTTGTTAAAACCAAATTGGAAATATGTAAAAGATGGTCTTTTAAATAATAATTAGCACAACCTCTTTAAGTATAAGGTAGAATGTTATCAAGACCTGATATACTTTTAGATTTCTGTTTCTTTACGATCATATACATATATGTGGTTTAGAGTAACTTATCACATCGTTCACTAATTCGTAACCCAGAACTCTGAAAATATTATTCAAAGCAATTAGGAACTTCATCTATCGATAAAGTATTATTTTTATCAACATAATATCTAGCTCTCCTATTGGTGTTTAATATTTTATGATTGTAAGATGGAAATTGAATTAGCTTAGTTACTACAAATTTAGACACCTGATATTTGTAGTACAGAAAATGCGAGTATTTCCCAATTTCATGACACGTCGTGGGATTGTGACAAATATCAAGAATGTGATAGTGCCCCTACGCCCATATGTTGTCTAAATTTAGAAAATTCTATCAGATATTATCTTGTTATTTCATTCTGTCTTCATAAACGTCAGAGATAATTCGATTTCACTTTTGTTTTCATAAAATATGGAAGAATACAATAGGGATTATCGTTATACCGGGGTAAATAATACAATACAATGTTCGATATAGAAATCAACAAAAAAATTTCATTCACATAAGAGGAATCGTAAATAAAAAAAATACAGAAGCAGTATAAAGTTAGTTTTAAAGAAATGATGTTGGTAAGTCGTGTACAAAAAGATTATAGAATATTACAACAGGTAATAAGGTTGATATATCATTTGATACTCTAGGTTTCCACCTATAGAATAATTAATTGGCAATTCTGTGGAAGTTCAAAATTAACTGCAACTAACCTAGGGGTCAATGGGGGATCGCTTTCAGTGAGATATGAAACCTATGTCCTTACTGTTTACTTATTTAGGCACCATGTGATTTACCACTTGTACTAGTCTATAGACTCTAAGGAAATTAGAACTGATAAAAAATGTAGCAAAAATGTAATACATGTATTAAACATATAAGATTTAGTTAAAATTACATTTTTTTACAAGACTACATTAAAACTAATTAAAATTGTTAAGTTACGCAAATATTGATTTCATCAACTAATTGACAGTAAAAGAACAGAGAGACTATACATGAACAGAATGACCTGAAGTTAAGTCTTCTGGCCTACACAAAAGCACCTCACCAAAACAGTTCACTGGGTAAAGGGTTGCCTGCCTCCAAGTGCATCAAAATTTACTATTCTGCTAGTAGTTGCAGTAACAAACACATCAACACAGCATTCTGTAATAGCAAAAAAAACCGCCTTTCTCGTAAAGTAATTTTAACAAATTTATTTAGGAGTGTTTTTTATGTAACAAATAATAGTTATTTATGTATCTAGGGAATTATAAGGGCCTTAATTACCGATGGCAAAGTTTGCGTCCGTCCCGAGGGCGTCCGACCCGAGGGACAGCAATTGCCTGAGGTTATTAAGGCTCATTAGTTCCCGTGGTACATAGATAATTTTATTTCTGACCGATTTCAATAAAATATTGTTTATTTTTAAAACGGAAAAAATGTACCAATTTATTACCTTCCCAGTATATTTGAATCAGGTACCATTGGTTATAAGAGTTTTGTTGTTGCTAGGTTGTTGCTATGTTACGTGTTTATAAACAGAATTGTTACTTGCTTATAAACAGTACTTTGTTATCAAGCTGTGTTTGCGTTAAAAACGTGTTTTCTACCCCAAATATAATGGAGCAGATTTTGAAGAAAGCTGAAAAAGCAAGAGAATCATTAATTCCATCGAAAAGTGAAGCCGTATACCAAAAAGAATACAAGATATATCTGGAGTGGCTGACACGGAATAATGTTATGCCAAAAGATGCCACTGAAACTGTATTACTGGCATATTTTCAAGAATTGGTAAGGAATATTCTATGTTTTTCGGTAGATTTGGTAGTAATTTTGTTTATTCGTTGCAGTCAGAAACGTATAGTCCGAATTCTTTATGGACTAAATGGTCAATGCTAAAATCGAAGGTGAATATACATGAGAAACGAGATATCGCCAAGTTCAATGAACTAGAGGCTTTTTTGAAACGGAAGAGTAAGAGTTATAAGCCGAAAAAGTCTGCTGTTTTATCTCCTAATGATGTTATCAGATTTCTAAAGAACGCTCCTAATGAAATTCATTTATTGCATAAGGTAATTTTTTTCTTATTTTCCTTTTTGTGTGTATTTATTTCCTTTTTTTGTTTTAGGTTGTTTTGATTATGGGTTATTTTGGAGGATGCAGAAGTCAGGAACTTTTGAATATGAAGATATCGGATATAGAGGACCGGGATTCCGTTATGGTAGTGAACGTACCGGAAAGTAAAACTGGTGTATCGAAGAAATTTACAATTGTGGATGAAAAAGAGTTCTCTGCTTTGCCTTTATTAAGACTTTATATGTCTTTGCGTCCTAAAGGTATTGAACGATTTTTTTTNTCTATTCTTGCCTACAACATTTACTTGAAACATTTTTGTGTAACAAATAATTTCCGAGTTATCAGTCTGTTGTTCTTAAAATGGAACACCTGGTATAAAAAACGTTTTTGTTTCCACAATCTAATATTGAAGACAAGGATTTCCACGATGCAAATTGGAACTCTCGACTCGAACGAAGACAAGAGTAAAATTATCAGAATTGCCTTCATCCATGATTTGCAATTTTGTGGTTATAACCTTGACGAATTTTTCACTTAACGGACCGTTTCCCCTCAAAACAAACCTTTACAGAAGCAATAGGCTGTGAAATCTACTCCCTGCTTTTGATAACTGAGGCGTTAAGGCAACCTCAAGTATTTTGAGAATAAGCAAGGAATTTACAGATTATTTCATAAATCCAACATTGGTTAAATCGAAAAGGATATTGGAAACAATTAAAATAGTAGCCAGCAGAGTCATTATCATACCTATCAGTGAAAGGAATTTAGCATTTGCACAAGTTAAAATTTTACTGGTGGTTTTACATTATAGATGTTATTAACCAATAATATCAATAAAATAATTTATACAAAATATTATTTATACTATGTACTGACCTTTAAACGATACTGACGTTTCAATGGAAGAAGGTGTGTCGATAGCAATTAGGTCAGAATAATAGTATATTATTCAACGAGCGTATAATGATGGGTATTATTCACGAGGTGAAGTTTACGGCCACGAGCCGCAGGCGAGTGGCCTAAATCACCGAGTGAATAATACCCATTATACGGGAGTAGAATACTATACTTTATCCACGACTACTAAATATTTTTGTTGAAGTTTTTTTTGAAATGTTTCGAAAAACATGGTATGTTAAGAAACAGATATACGACTCGCACAAATGAAGTCGCTGATGGCTCAGTGTAGATGCTCTTTCCCTTCCAACCGCGGGTCCCGGGTTCGAATCCGGTCTAGGAAAATTCACTTTTTTAATTTTTTTTTATATGTACAGCACTGAATTGAAAATATTTAGTGGTTTACACGATAAAATTTTAAAAACGGATTGTTTGTAGCAGAACAATATAATATTATAGCTAAATTAAGGAAGCATCTGACAGTAGTGATTAATGACTCATTAATCACTGCCGTGATTAATGGGTATTATTAAGGTCGAGCAAACAGACGTATAATGGGTACATTATTAAATAGTCGTGGATACAATTATTTTTAAGTGTCTAGTTTAAGTAATAATATCTAATTTAATACTACTTACTTTAATCTCGAATGTAATTCTACAACATAACGTTATTTTAAAGTAAAAATTTTATAAAGAATATTTTGAAAGTAGTTCCCACTTTCCTTTGAACACAATCCAACACGATTTGTTTGAGGTTGTCCTGCTTAAATTGATAAGTATGGGAATACTTCGCCAACGTCATAGTTGCTCCTGGTAAATCGGAAACAAATTTGCTGAGTAAACAATTTGCTATTTTTGTGTTGATGTGTCAGTGTCATCAACGGTTTCAAATAATAGTTGTTTGATTATGGCAAATTTTACTAACAATGAGTATGTTGATATGCTCCAAGTATTTTTTGAAAGTCACAAAAATTGTGCTGCCGCAACAAGATTGTACCATGAGAGATATCCAAATCGCCGGGTCCCCCACAGGCAAACTTTTTCAGCCGTGGAAAGAAGGTTGCGAGAAACTGGCCAAATTCAACCTAAGCGTGAGGGTAATGGACAAAGACGGTACCTATATCAGAAATGTAAACCTTGAAGAAGCTATACTTACCAATTTAGAAGAAAATCCTCAAACAAGTACAAGAAGACTGGCTACACAGTACAACGTTTCGCAAAGCCTTGTTTGGAACTTGATTCATGATAACCTTTTACGCCCTTTTCACCACCAGCCGGTTCAAGAGTTAACTGCAAATGATTTACCTGTAAGGGTTGTTTTTTTGCCAGTGGTATGTGGCATCTCCAGACACGACTTGAATTTTTTATCTCATATTTTGTTCACCGATGAGGCATGTTTTCAAAGACATGGCTTAGTTAACCATCGAATATTCATACATGGTCTGATGAAAACTCCCATGAAATATGTCCATCAAGATTTCAGGATAATTTTAGTGTAAATGTATTTTCAGGAATTGTTGGAGATGCAATAGGTCCATTTATTCTTCTCCGTCGACTGACAGCTCTTGAATATCTTCGATTTTTAAATGAAAATCACCCAATATTATTGGAGGATATACCACTAGGTGTACGACAAGTTATGTGGTACATGCATGACGGGGCTCCAGCACATAGTACCTTAGCTGTCAGGCAATGGTTGAATTTAAATTTTCCGGGACGTTGGATAGGTCTTGGTGCCGATGCACCCGTTAGTTGGCCTGCCCGTTCACCGGACATTACTCCACTTGATTATTTCTTATGTGGGCAACTGAAAAGTCTTGTTTATGCTACTCCTGTTAATACTGTTGAAGAATCGCGTCAAAAAATCTTTCTCGCAGCTGACAATATTTGTAACAACCCAGAAATATTTGCAAGAGTACGTCATAATTTTAATCGTCGTGTTAGATTGCGTTTACAGAAAAATGGGAACTACTTTGAAAATATTCTTTAGAAACTTTTTACTTTAATATAACGTTATGTTCCTTAGTATTACATTCCAGATTACAGTAGGTAGTATTAAATTAAAATTTATTATTTAAATTAGACACTTCAAATAACTTGATTTGTTTCATAACGAATACTTACTGTTCCTTCAAAATAAATTTATTAAAATTACTTTACCAGAAAAGCGTTTTCCTTTGGCTATTAATGAGTGGTGTGTTGATGTTTTTGAAGTTTGTTTTTCGTAAATTATCTAAAAAAACTATCGCGTTTATCGAAAAAATGCAAGAGAGAAAAAATGTTTGTTTT